GCGGGGAACACATGGGACTTCAAAGGCATCGCGCAAACGTTCTTTACGCGCTGCGGCAACTTTGATCTTGGTTCATTTGCATAGCGCTGCGTGCGCGTAGCTTTGCCGAGTGATCTCCTTCTCAATACCTCCATGAGCTTACCTACGATAAAAAAAATTCGCGTACACGGCGCCCCATTGTGTGTATTCCCACCATGCATTTCGGTTGAACAGTTGTTGTTTTTATGTGGAGAACTGTATCTTGTGTTTCTAGTATCTTTGATAGAACTGCTCAAGAGGTCCGACTGCCCTTATTCTGTATGCAGGCAATGAAACGTTAAAAAGTACTGCCACGAAGGGGCGTGTCCTTCAAAATAACGTAAAAGGTGTTCGTATCAAATGCGTGCTGCGTTTCGAAACTCGAACAAACGTTCTATTATAGACGCGCAGCACGCGTTCGATACGAACACCTTTACGTTCTTTTGAAGGACACGCCCCTTCGCGGTAGAACTTTTTGAGATAAGATTGCGAAAGTCGTCAGTCCTTTTGCAGTTTTATGCTCTTTGATGATAATAATTATAAAAACATTACTATATTTTGTACATACAGTGTATTATGTACGTACCGTACATTATAATATCATCATCATAATCATCATAGTGTAGTTTTATATAGCGCACAAATCCATCTAATGTAAGATGCTCAGGGCGCTTGAAATGTGGACTAGAAACTCGATCAATGACTTTCTTCGCCCCTAAAGGCCAACTCAGACAGCGTCGGCCGACGCAGCCCGACCCGATTTATCGTCGGGGACCGTCTTTAGCCGTCGTGAGAAATATTAAACACGTTTAATATTCTACTACGCGACTGCCCCCGACGCACACCATCGCGTCTGCGTTCAACTCACACAGACCCGACGCGACAACAAATCGCGTCGGGCTGCGTCGGCCGACGCTGTCTGAGTTGGCCTAAGGGTCCCTTCGTGTCTGTGCTACCCGGTAACCCGGTACCAGCAACTCTCGTCGTAGACCACAGGGACTGTCTGTTCCAGTATACAGGGGTATCCCCCTACTCGTCTCGAAGGATGTAATATTCTATTATTATGTGCGTATCATTGTTAGACTATGTAAACACTCTATTACATAGGCCTACTTTCATCATTATTTATTATGTACATAATATTAGACATTGTTCAGTAGATTTCAAGTAATTTACGTCTATTATTCACAACTTCGTTTACATAAAGAGCACTGTTCACTTGTACTTCCTCCTTCATTATAAAGGCCAGTATTGTCAAGTTTGGCATCTGGCCTACGAATAAGAGACTGACATTGAATGTAAGAATAAGGTTGCAATAATTCCAAAGGTCTCAATGTCTTAACTCACAACACAAGTATGACATGAAAAACAAATATGGCTTCTAAGACTGCAGTACAGGCAAATCATAGAACTATTTATTGCTTACCTGTATCGGAGGCACCTAAACAACCAACAAGAAGTATAAGTTGGTGACTGGTAGGACACTTGAGTAGTGTACCTTTCAGTTGTAATTATTTGAGTTGAGCATACATTATCCCTAGACAAAAATATAAACCGATTTTAGTTATTTACCTCCAAAGGTTGAAGCTAAAGTTAGTAACAGTGGCTTTAAAGTCATGATGCTTTTCAGGATATGAACCCATAACCATGAGATTGGAAAGTAAGCACCCTAATTAATATAATAAAGCTCTACTATAGAAGTAGTTTGTTTTATTCGGTTTTTTAATGAGGCATAGTAGACTAAAGAATAACAAATTAGAAATATTGTAATTCTAATACTGTTTGAGGCTTTAATGTTTTTAACGTTTACTCCGATTCTGCTGAACTTCGTCCAACATTATTAGTTCAAATAACCTGATGACTAATATACATTCATTGAATATTATAAACAGACAAACCCATTAGGATCCAAACAATGGATGGTTTCCAAACTCAGGAATAAGCCGGCGACAAATACAACCGGAACTAGATGTTGAAGCGTCATCATTTATCCAACATATCCAACAACAACCTTACATAATACAATCTGTTCGTAAACAAAGTAACTTTCAATTTAAAAAATGATAAAATGTAGGTGCTTTGATTTGACTCGCTCTCAGTTATATTTATTCGTTTCGTTAAATAATACAGGCCACTGTTTGCTTTATGTACACGTTCGTTTATGCATATCATTATGATCATCCGTTCATTCATATATTGAAGACTGATATTTACTCACACATAAATTTCTATAAATTGGTTTAATTACAACAGAAACTCTGCGACTGTGTGAAATTATTGGAATTTACGCGTGTATATCAGTCTAAATGAAACTAATAATGATGATAAATGTCGACGACGACGACGAACATAATGATGATTATGATGATGATGATGATGATTATGACGATGATGATGATGAATATGACGATGATAATGATGATCATGATCATGATTATGCTAGATGATATGATTTCCAGATCTAGTCATAGTGTGTTATAAATTAAGTTTTTTTAAAGTAATACAGGAAATAACAAAACTTTAACAAGTTTCAATTTGCTACAACTATTCACATTATAATTAGGTATACATAAGCTTGGTATAACAGATTTGGTTTTTGTTAATGTACAAGCTAAAAACTGAAAAGGGAAATTTGTCACATTTGGCGTGTGGTTTTTGGGTTCTTTCCCTCTCTGTAGAGAGCATGCAGAGCATTTGGCTAACAAAAGCAATAATATAAAGCACAATATAAAGGAACGGATTAGGATCATTCAATCTTATCGGTACCGGTACCGGAATAAGAGCCTCTGGCATTATTAGTTGGGAAATAACGAAGAACTCAAAAACTAACTTCAGTATAGCGATTCGAAAAAAAAAAATAAAAATAAAAAACATAGGCCATTGTTAAACTGCAGGTTTTGGAGTAAGTGCCAAATAATTTCGAATCCGAAAGAGGACGCAGTATAATTCCCCATAAATAAAAATTCGGAGAACTATATGTTAATATAGTTACAAAAAAATATTATACAATTAGTATATTATTATTTTCAAATAAAACAAGATGTAGCCGGCGAGAAGGAAGATGTGTTAGTGTATGTTAGTTTATACATGCCGTATTAATACACGAAGCAAGTGATACGCTTTTAAAATCATCAGCAATGAAAGTAGTCAAATTATTGATCGTTCTTGAAGTAGGCATTAGTTACAAAAAAAAATCATAGTTTATTAATCACAATTATAATAAATTAGCTTAAATGTAATTTTTGATAATTATTAGAGGATTGTACCAAACTTCAACATATTCATGTAACTGATGTAATTTCAGATAAAATCTACAGTGAATGCAGCATATTGTTTGTTCCACCGACAGGCACAGACAGTTACCGGTATTTCCAATTCTTTGTTGGCATCGCTACAAATATTTACCGAATGCTAATATTATTGAGTGTTTGTTTTCTTGTTATGATATGTTTCTTTTTGTAAGCCAAACTGAGCTTTATTGCTATTTGAATAAAGGCCTATAGAAATGTGAGTGTTAGAAATGTTTAAAGGCCTCCTTGAATATCTTACATAGTGACAGCATGGACCTATAATAATAATGGTGCTATACTAACAGGAAATCAATAACTAAAAAATTTGACGCTTATGTTTAGTGTGATGGTCATCAAACTACGGGGGTGGGGGGAGGCGGCCCAAATTAGAGTCAGCAATACTCTGTAATAATATTTCGTTCCCTTGAAATAATATTTCGTTCCCTCGAAATAATATTTTACTTCCTCGAAACAGTGCCTTTGGTAGTCACAGCCTGTCTCTTATACACATCTAGATGTGTATTAACTCATTTGCATTTTCACCTGTCTTAGCATTCATATACTCGCACAATCCCTGTATTCTCTCACTCATGAAGATTGCATTAGCATGAAACAGTCTGTAGAGTGATAATACCCAAGTTCTACAAGTTATTGGTCTTAAACAGTCACTATTCAAAGAGAGAACAGCAGGTTGATAATGATTTTTCTCCCACAGCCATTAAGACAGGGGCGGATCCAGAGATGTCCAAAAGGTTGGGGGTGGGGGGCGAAAGTTGGGCTGATCGAGACAACACTATCCTAGAAGGGCCGCGGGCATGCCCCCGCGAAATATTTGTGTTCTAGACGCCCAAAAATAACATTTGAGGTGTTCAGGGCTATAATTTTTTTTTCTTTGAGTACCCTGCTGATTGTGTGCTTTTTTTGCTGACAAACACCATATTGTATCATTTGAAAAGAAGGATACTGACGAAATACATCGATCAGAACAACAGAGACAAAACTTGGCGCCAGAGACGTCTCTTATGACTTACATTATTTTTAGGACAATCGAAATGATTTGTTATGAGAACTGTTCTTTGGTTAAATCATAATAAATGAAGTACGAATGTCATTGACGATAAAAACCCAATAGACGTAAATCATAATAAATGAAGTACGAATGTCATTGACGATAAAAACCCAATAGACGTACTTAAAAATAACCTAAGTTCAGTTGTGTTTACCTCTAATTTAACAATGGGCTTCTTCTACCATGAGTTTATTAGTCTCAAATCATGCATTAAGACTCTGCAATCATTACAATTTTAACACATCCCCTGATTTGCTATGTTGAATCTAGTTGCGCCAATAAGAATACTAATCTTAGGAGTGTTTTTAGTTATTTTTTCCTTTTGTGTGCTTGTTTGAAGAAAGCACCGAGTGATCGATTTTGGAGTTATTTATTCTATTTATGGCCTATATTATCTTGCTCATTTTCAAACCATCCCTGTCCACGTTACCCAGGGATTGACTTTATTGTTCTTACTTTGAAGGAAATTTATTCCTCGAACTTTTAATATGTTACACATATTTTTATTATTATTTTATTGTTCTTAAAGGGCCAACATAAATTGCCATAGACTTTAAATTTTATATTTTGCTATGACGAAGGGCTATTACCAAGGGAAGGCATTTCTCTCTGGCTGTTTACTTTACATGAAGATATATAAGACAGAACGACCGACCAACCGACTGACTAATGGATTGACCGACCAACCGACATTATTAATATACTTCCTGCTAAATTTGAAACCAATAAGTATAATTCCGGGCATTCACTTTGTCGTACGACGGTCATGCGACCGTCGTACGACAAATCTAACTTCTCTCACTGAGCGATAGACGACGCCACACCACTCCGCCTGCTGATTGTTGGTGGCAGTCTGAATGGATCATTCTCCATAGAATTGCGTCGGGCGACCGTGCCCGGCTCAACTGAAATTGGAAAAACAGATGTTAACGTAATGGGGACCTACGCCCAACCGCTACGAACCTACGCCATTGTCGATCTTTTGAAAAATGCGAGAACATTATTTAGCCTTATTGATTAGTGGTTACCGAGATGAGCACCCGACAGGGACGTAGCCAGACTTTCAAAGAGAAGGAGCCGTCTTGCAAAGTACGTAGTACTCAGCGGGGTGCGGGTTCGGACTAAACTGTCCCTCTCCCTACGCCCAAGGACCCTGGTGGGGTCCAGAAGGCGAAGACCCCTGGGAGGTAGCCCATTCTGGACGTTTTAGGACTGTTTTGAGGGTATAAAGTTAAAATTGCAATAGACACACACACACATCATAAATAATATTAGTAGGCCCAGTGGCGCCGAACGGCCGGAGAAACTCGGGGCAAGTGCCCGGGGTCCGGGCTCGGCAGGGGCCGAGGATAACTAGGTTAAAAAATAATAAAATAAAATAAATAATAAAAATCATTAAACGTATACATTTATCCAGTATCATTCCTGTGTTTTTCCCAAGAGAATTGTAAATAAAGCTGACCGCTTATCGATGAAAGCTTAATCGTTTCTAATTCTTTTTTATGAATATTTTCATAACTTCTACTAATCTAGATTTGATGCTCACAATGTATCAAATAGTAAATTATTTAGGTTATTAATAAATATTTATAAAAAGGCTTGTACTCTGGACATCGTCAATATACATACAAGTTAGAAAATACGAATAGACCTGATAGAGTTTGTTAAATAAATAGTAAATTAATATATTAAACCAGTGGCGGAGTTGAAAGAGGCGCAGCTCGACCCGGCCCCCAACCCATAAATTTTTTTAAATTCAACAAAAAATTAGAAAAAGAGTAAAATTCTACTCAAATTTAAGTCTAGGAGTGCCATTTCCGGCCGTCCAGAGGTGCCATAATCATAAATTTCCTTACCTCAACCCCAATCACGGTGGGGCTGAGGTAGATAGACCGTCCATCTGTCAAAGTCTTTGTCTGAGCCCCCTCTATTTCAAATTACTGGATCCACCACTGTAAACCTTGATCCCATAAAAAAAAAATATTAGTTTATCACCCCTTCGCTCATTACTTCTGGAGAAATTCTGATATTCTTTTCAGTCAACATATATTTTATTTCAAGCGATCATTTTTTTATTTATTTTTTCACATTAAAATATTGATTTATTGCAAATATGTTTACTGGTACAACAAAAACTTTTTTTGTTAATATAAATTGGAAACCATTCTTAAGACTTATTATACATTTGTCTACCATTAATATTTACTTGTGAACATCTGTAAAATGTGGGCAGGGTTAGTAAAAAAAAAGTAACCTCCCTCCCTCATCAGTTTTTATTCTTTGATAGGGTGATAAACTAATATTATTTTTTATGGGGCGTAATGAATCTTTTCAGCACTTTTGAATAAAAGGAAGGATATCCTTTCTATACTTTGTTTTTCGTGACCTGCTGAAATTAGGCACTCTATAATCGATTAAATTAGTCCTCTTTAATCCGTTAAAAGGCTGTGGCTTCAGGAGGGGTGGAGGTGGGGGACCAGGGATCTGCCTATTGATCCCGTTTGGGCCCTAGGCGGCTCTCTAGACCCCCAACCAATGTGCCCGGGCAGCAAATATGCCCCGGGGACCGCGGCCGCTCTCGGCGGCCCTGACGAGTAGGCCTAACAATAAAACAACTATTCAAGATATAGGATCGACCCATCTCAGCCCCACCATGATTGGGGCTGAGACACGAACATTTGAGGAAATAGTACCTCTAGGTGGCCGGCCGGAAATGACACCTTTATATAGTAAAATTCATCATCATCATATCAACATTTTATATATAGTCATAATAAATCGCCAACAATTTTTTCTTGATCGTTTATCAATGGGTCTTCACCAACCATAGAGATCTAATTAATTATGTGTAAAGTACTGTATCATAAAAATAAATTTTAAAAACAGTGCCTTCCATGTATTTACTTTACACACATTTTAAAGCTGTGAGTCCACAACCACCTCAGTCCGAACTTGTTGGGGCTGTGGTGAAACAATTTGAGGAAATAATACCTCAGATGGCCGTAAATCACACTTTTAAATATTAAAATTCATCATCATCACATCACCATTATATATAGTATTTCTAATTTGCATAAATTAGAAATACAAAATGCACATGGTTTTTTTGTATTTCTAATTTGCCTAAATAATTCACGCTTAAGCCTATGTGTTATTAGGCCTATGCATAACGTGTGCTGATGCATATTTACATATTTTAGAAGTTATTCGAGTGATCCCAGGATAGAATTTGTATTAGATAGCAAATCAAACTTTAAAATGCTAACAGTGTACAAGCCCTGTCTCTTATACACATCTAGATGTGTATAAGAGACAGCACCTCCCCACACCGAATACGTCGGTGGCACCCGATAATATAGGAATGGATGGCCTTTTCCCCATGTTTTTCAGAAAATGGTAGTGTGATATTGTAATATTCTACATTAGCTGGCGATAGTAGTTACATTAGCTGTGAGACAATATTCGTTACTGTACATTAGCTGTTGAGCATTCTACATAAGATGTGGGTTGATTTTCTTTTTACTAAGATGTTGGTGTTTCATTAGCGGGGAGTTTTATAACGCTGTGGAGTGCTACACTATCGGTTGTTACTATATTAGCTGTTGTTTTCTACTTTAGCGGTTGTAAGAGAGATCTAGGAATACCTTTTTGCTGATTGATGAATAGATTTTTTCCTCATTCTTAGAAAAAAAAAACAGGCTCGTCCGTAAATTAAATCAGGTACCTCTCACATCGTAACAAGCTACATTCATGCCTCTAGACCAACGAGCCATAGTTACTGTGTAATTTTGAAGGAGCTCTAGAAATAATTGTTTGTTTGATTGACTGATTGAATGTTTGATTGATTAATAGATATTTTTGTATGGGCGGCCGTTAGGGCCAACACACTCTGCTGCCTGTATTGTACTGCCCTCATCGGATCTTCCAAGATTACGAGACCAATAATTTTGGTTGCCCAAAACATTAATTAGATTATTCTGTGAAGTTTGCTTGTCCAAGACAAAAGAAGGGTATGTTGTATTTAGACCGTACTTGAGAACCACTTGGACAAATGATAATTACATATTCCTTTAGCGAATAGGATGAATGTCCAAAGACAACATTACTAGGTACTCTTCATTCTTCTTTTTACTATAATAGCACTAAATTAGTTCTAGGTAAAAATGAATAACGTGTCTATAATAACCATATATACATCTAAATTAGTAATTGATTCAGTACTGTAGTTCCAGAAAGTTAAGGCAGGAAAGGCAAAGTTACGTTTAGTTTCAGATTCGAAATATTAAGACATTATTTGCAAATTTAAGACGACGGCTGGGATATAGATGTTGACAATTTCAGAGAGGTAAATTATGCTCTCTACGTTTCTTTAAATCAAACGTAATAGAAACGAAAAATCTAAACGTAATAAATTGTATAAAATGGTTCTTAAAAAATACAGCGAAGTAACATTTGTAATGTACCTTCAATAGGCATATTTACTCCACATCCCACCCCGACTAAATATAAAGTATAAGGCGGTATAATAAATTAAAACTAATACAATTAGTAAAGCATATCAAAATTTGAATTTTACCTACAAGTCCAGACTAAACAAGAGCTCACGCACGTCCGTCTTGAGCGAATACCAAGAATGCACTGGTTGTAATTATTCGCGCATGCAACCTTATTGAAAAATTAACCACGGATGGACGAGCATATTGAAGCATAATTATTGTAGTCTATTATGATTTTATTATCTAACGTCTCTCACAACATAATGTACTTCCTCCATACGCACAATCACTCAAACAAAACTAGTTACATGAAAGCTATGGTTACAGATTATACAAAGGCCTAACACTCAGCCTATTCATCACTTCAGTAGTTGGATGTAGTTATTCGGACGGTCGAACTAGCTGACCACCTCCCTCCCCCACCCCACCATCTTGTCGAGGAAAAAAAAAACCACAATTCATCGGGGAGAAAAACAAATGTATGGGTTATGTATTTTCTACATATTAGTAAACTCTAAAACCGATTAAATAAGCCTTTGAATCCCTAAATTGTCATATTTTTCGGGGCCTTCGCCGCCTTGATGTACCTTCGAGAGATTTTGAGCGACGCTGTCGACTACGCCCACTTTTTTTCGCTGTCTCTTATACACATCTAGATGTGTATAAGAGACAGGTTTTCATGGCGCCACCCTTGATTCAATGAGGTGTGATGGGGTGATTTTAATGGTGATTATAGTGATAGTGTTGGTGATGGCGTTGAATGATAGTGTCCAAACAAGTATAGGGTACTTTTCTGCCTTTTCAATGGTCGGAAATTATGGTGCAGTTGCAAACGAGTTCTTGTCTATACTTTTTATGTTAAAAGTTTATCAGCCTAATGATTCATAATTTTGAATATAAACAATAAACATAGGATTGGTATTATTCCTAATGTGTATAACTTCGTAAAATAATACGGTAATTCTATCTATTATTCAACTATTTTATATTTATATGTTTACAATTCTATGCAAAAACAAATGTTTATAAGTATATATACTATACATTCTGCCACTGTGATTTATATACAAACCCAAGTCGTTATTATATCAAATATTTCAATATATCTGACCTTTACTGTGAGCATGTGTCATTTGATTTAGTTAGCCTACACCAGTCCAAATAATGTAAATATTATACAAGTATCTTTATGATTAACTATAACACAATATAATGGTTATTAAAGGCGCTAATCATTTACAAAATGTATTGTTGTGCAGTTAACTCACGAATGATTCATTATTACTGCAACTCAAATGTAAAATACAGTCATTAAAAAAATAATGTTTAAATAATAACGAGCAATATAGTGAGGTCATCATTATCATGACATGAGGCGTTATATAACACTGGCATATTATTACTATTACTATTATTATTATTATTAATAATTATTATTAAGCCTATTATTATTTTATTTTTATTATTGTTATTATTATTAAACGTTCATGTTTCTAATTAGTTTAATTTAAATACATTGTCTCTAAACACATCCAAATCAAATTAAAAAATATTTGATACAAAAGACATCTTATATCGGCATATTCAATAAACTTAAATTTAATCTCTCTCCCTAATATTCTGCTAAACTTTACAAATCGAGATGTGTATAAGAAGCTAACATGTGATTTGGAGGCGTGGCTTCTTTGATGGACTCACCCAGACGCGACTGCCGAACTTTGAACTTTAACTTTGTTTACGCCGCGAGTTCATGAAATGGAGTCTGAAAATTGGTAGACTTTTAGACTTTTAACGAACTTTCAACAGAAAGGAACATCGAAATGAGTGCATACTATTGCAAATTAACTTCGTGTAGGTAAATAAGGTTCTTTACAGGCCTGTTGCGCTATTTATATTGGTGTTTTTTGTATTAATTTTTGTACAGCATTGATTGAAGTAGCCGGCGAAAACATTGTAGTAGCCGATCGAATGCGCCGGCCGCCGGCTCTTAAATAAACCCCTGATGACATGAGGCGTTATATAACACTGGCATATTATTACTATTATTATTATTATTATTATTATTATTATTATTATTATTATTATTATTATTATTAATTATTATTATTATTATCAACTATTATTAAGCCTATTATTATTTTTATTTTTATTATTATTATTGTTATTATTATTAAACGTTCATGTTTCTAATTGGTTTAACTTAAATACATTGTCTCTAAACACATCCAAATTAAATTAAAAAATATTTGATACAAAAGACATCTTATATCGGCATATTCAATAAACTTAAATTTACATCTCTCTCCCTAATATTCTGCTAAGCTTTACAAATCGTTAGTCTTGCCGTACGTTTCTTAATATAACTATGCTTGGTGTATCTTGTTCGACAAGTTTATCAATTATCAATTATTATTGTTAATATTATTATTATTATTATATTTTTTTTATATTTTGTTGTCTACTTTATTTTTGTTCAACCCATTTTACCTTACTTCACACGTTTGCTTAACAGGACGACACATATATGTTTAGTAGGAGGTTTTAGATTAATTTTTGAACCCGTTCATATTTCTAATTGGTTTAATTTAAATACATTGTCTCTGAACACATCCAAATCAAATTATATAATATTTGATACAAAAGACATCTTATATCGGCATATTCAATAAACTTAAATTTACATCTCTCTCCCTAATATTCTGCTAATCTTTACAAATCGTTAGTCGTGCAGTAAATTTCTTACTATAACTGTGCTTTGTGTATCTTGTTCGACAAGTTTATCAATTCCACTCCCTGGGATAGCTTTGAAACAACTCCCATTGACAATTTCTTTAAACTCCAAAAACGGGACACGGGAATCACTTTAGATTGCACACCAAACCTTTGTTTTACAAATACAATACCTTCAACATTTTTTATTTTAAATTCCAGTCTGCTATATTTATGTTTCGTTTGTATGATAAAATGTTACCACTCCTTCTTTATTTTCAAAATCGTCCCATTACCATCAATAAAATACTCGATCCTCACAAAATCATTTTTCCAAATCCTTAACTGTTTCTAATCTTAGACGTCACTCTATTTATCATGCCGGCCCAAAATTTCCCTTACCATGCCATTACAAGATATATCTTCTATTTCTAGCTTTAAATCAAATTTAAAAACGTCACTAGTTTCAGCATATAGCAGGTAATCTCCCTTCATTGACACAGTACTTATGAGTGCGAAAATCCACAGAAACATACAAATTCGCATATGCGCTACTCTACTTTATTTACACAAAACAAACATAACACAATATCCGCGTTTTCTGCTAACAGAAAAAACAAGCATATTGAGCTATCAAACATAAGTATAAAATAAAAGCTAAGCGTAAAGTGAATTGTAAAGTCGAGGATTTGCAAAGAAGTATGGAAATATAGGGACCGAACCTATCGTTTCGACACTCACTTAAATTATAAGGTGAATGAGTGTTTTTCGCAAATCTAGATACTTGTATAAAAATGTTTCTACCCAACGCCCGGAAATGCCAAACACCTGATACCATTATAGAGTAGTCACCTTATTCTAAAAATTGCTAATCTAGTTTACCAACCTTATTCTAAAAATCACTAATCTAGTTTACCAACGTTTTAAAAAATGTTGTCGTCGTATTTAAAATGTAAAATAATACAGTCTAAAATATACATTTCCAACTACGGCGGCTACAGAACTCTTCTTTTAACATTTTTTTTAAAATGTAATAATAGTGCTGCAGTATGCAAGCCAAGAATAAGGTTAACCCCAACCGGCAAAAGAACACTTATTACCATTCATAAAACTGATCTATGATATGTTAGTTTCATGAAACTGACTGATGACTCTTTTGAATGTCATGGCAACTCTTTTTACAGGTCATTTAATGTCATTTGAGGTCAAATTGAGGTTAACACATATTTTGGTTGGCATATGTAAGACAAATTGCAAACAAATGTGTAAGGAGTTTAAATTTCGATAACCACATATTGGTCACATGCTTAATTCATATGCAAATTAGGACTAAAGATATAGGGTCTCCATAACTTGAAAACCAATAATCTGCATGTTTATATTTTCTCTAATGAAACATTTTGTCATAATGTGACCATAAATTCAACAGCTGACCTTTGCCCAAATATTTACATAATTTGCATATCTTCATGGCTAATGTGGTGGAAGTTTGATTTAGGCATATATTTTTTACAAATACATGCTTATTCTCATTATATTTTTAAAAAGTATAAAAATTCAGTAATCACCATCCCTCCCTCTTTAAAATATCTAGTTTATATGTACGTAAATCAGCTGTAAGAAATTATAGGGTTTTGAGATATCTTGGCAACCACTTGTCGCAGAGAGTTGCTATTGTTTTCAAAATATTTAGAATCTGGATGTTTGTATTTGCTCTAATATAATATTTTGCCCAAATATGACCGGAAATGCTACAACTGACCTTCAACCCTATATTCAAATTAGCTGTAAAAAAGTTCGTTATCTTCGCAACCACTTGTCGCAGAGAATTCACCTTATATATAAATATATATATATATACATATATATATATATATATATATATATATAGTTTTTATATCCCAGATTATGATTTCATAGTAACATTGACATGAAATTACCCCTATTGATCCATGACCTGTTAGTATAGAACTTATGTCCCATCACTATGGGCAGTTCCAATGCCCCCATTGGAGAGCATTTTCAAATATACTAACTAAACATGTGGGTATTTTCAGAAAGCAAACGGGCCTTGACTCAGGAACTATGGAAGCTATGACCTTGGGTTTTAGGACATTTTATAAATTAATTAATTATCTTATTATTTTTATTTTATACACATTTTACACACAATGACCTTGAATGACATGTAATGGAATACCTGTGATCATCTGCAAATATCCGAAATGGTGTTAAGACATTTCTAAAAATAATAAATAGATGATAAAACACCAGAATTATAATCATTAGTGCTGAGATATTGATTATATAGGTTTTGCATGTCGGCCATTTTGAAATCCAATATGGATTGGATTGGATTGGATTTATTCGGTGTAAACACCAAGGATAGCCCACGAAAGTCTAGAAGAAGACTTATTTCCAGTGGGGTCCTTCTGCTGGTGATTGGGCAGTACACCGGGAGACAACCCCATACTCTTTTCCGAAGAGTATACTGCGTTCTTTAACGTGCACATGGGCCATAATGCACACGGGACCAACGGCTTAAACGTCTCATCCGAAAGACGGTGCGCTATTGTAACTTGTATTTCAGCCCTCAGCTGAAGCACAAGGAGAGGCAGATGGGAATTGAACCGGGGACCTAGAGATCTCCACGGTTCAGCGCACACAAAGCGGCTACCACCAGATTGGCCGACTGAGCTATATAATTATGGCCGACATAATGATTGGGACGAACTGAATCCCATAAAAATTGAATTGGATTGGATTTATTCGGTGTGAACACCAAGGACAGCCCACGAAAGTCTAGAAGGAGACTTATTTCCAGTTGAATCCTTCTGGTGCTGATAGGGCAATACACAGGAAGACAATTCATTACTCTTTTCCGGAAAGTGTACTGCGTTCTTTAACGTGCACATGGGCCATAAATGTACACGGGACCAACGGCTTAAGCATCTCATTCGAAAGACGGTGTGCTATTGTAACTTTTAGCCTTCCAGCTGAATGAAACACAAGGAGAGGCAGCGATGGGACATGAACCGGGGACCTATAGAGATATTCTGGGTTCAGCGCACGCACAGTGGCTGCCACCAGATTAGCCGACTGAGCTAAGCTGCTCTCAAGTAATATTAGACTATGAGAAGTATGTACAAAATATAATGCTTTTATCCAAAGTGCCCACATCTATCTGCTAAGCTGTGAGATCATATCGTACATGTAGCTTTCACAGTGCACTTTTACGAAAACACAAAAAAATAAGTGGTTATTATATTAAACAGCTGAAAAAATACCATCAGTTTTCGAGGTGTCATCAAGCAATTATTTGAAATCTAACATATATACAAACATTTTGGTATATAAATCACCTTGTTCTTTCAGCCGGTTGCGCCTACTTGTTAATTAGGCCTAATTTCGGAGGTCTACTGCTCTACTATAAATGAGAACTATTTGATAATGGAAAATACAAACGAATGAACGAATTGTTATATTATTGCATCGTATATAGCCTTTAATATTATGTTATGTTAATGAGTGGATGTTTAGATATAAATAATGCTCTGAAAGGACATTTATTCGCATCCAACAGCAAGTAATTTCTTAATTAAAAGGACGAAACGATGCTTCTTAAATCAAGTCTATTAACTGGAATTATAAAGTGGATTTGATTTTGGTCATGCCAAAAAGTCCTGCTGTTACAGGAATTGAACTCAGGACCCTAGGACTCGAAGGTAAGCATCCTAATTACTAAACTCTACAACTCCACTTTTATAATTTGACTCTGTTTCTAATTATCTTCGAAACCCATCTAAACCCAAATACTCTTCCCCGTCGTCAAATGATGAGGTGTCAACGCTTTGTTGATTACTGCTTATCACATTGTCGAGGTTTCCGGCCAAACTTTCAAACGACGGTCTGCTGTCAGGTGTGCTATGCCAGCATGCATTCATAACTGTGTATCTGAAATCAAAATTGTACTTGTAATGTTTATCACGAAACATTGTGGTATGTATTTTATTATGCCTTTCGGCACACACGCACATGGGCCAAACATTTATTTACGATGAACAAGAAAATGAACTACCATACTCACAATTCGTTGGAGCAGTTTTGGGGTTTTGGCAGCCGCAAGCCTCCAATTACTTCTTCCATAATTGTGTTATTCGACATATTTTCATATGGTTTTGATCCTGTGTAGGAAAAACATGTAAAAAAAATAATTAAATGTTAACGGTACTTGGATTTAGCTGTGTATTAAAACGACAATTATATATACATATACAACTGATATAAAGTAACTTTTCGTTGATGAGCTAGCTATGCTTGATACGATTATTTTAACATGTTCTCATTCGAGCATTATTATTATTAGAGGTTATGTTTTTGCCTATTTATTTGTTTAGTTATTTATTTGTCTGTCGGCATATTTGTTGCTGAAGAAGTAGCGTTATTATGTCCAGATAACATTGTTCATATTATAGATCAATCTGCATTCACCGGAGACGATAAATTTCCAACAAATTTCATATCATATTTAATCAACGACAGTATGTGCTGGCAATTGATATATAATGCAATGCATGCTATAGCATTTTGTGATAATTAGGAAGGAATTTGTGAAATAATAGGTTTTAAAAAGTGGACCTTTTTGGAATTGGGGGGGGGGGGTGCGTCCGCACCCTCTGCACCCCCTGCCTATGGGCCTACACCTGTCCTAGAGAAATAATAAAATTGTACATATACCCGGATTCTAAGAGCTGCCCTTAACGTCGGTTGGCATGATAGAACTACAAACAAACTACTGTATGGCGCCCTACGAAAGGTCGTAGACAAGATAGCGTACAGGAGAATGACACTGGCAGGACACTGTCCTCGGCATCCAGAACTTTCGGTTAGCCAACTTATTTTCTGGGAGCCCACACACGGTAGAAGGAGCAGAGGCAGACAAAAACTAACTTACATGAATTTACTTTAAAAAGATTCTGGTTTAGTGAACACAGATGAGCTAGCAGCCAGTATGCGGCACCGTGATGAATAGAGGATCCATGCAGGGCTCGGCTGTGGCCGCTTGTAGTAGTAGTAGTAGTAGTAGTAGTAGTAGTAGTGGTGGTGGTGGTAGTAGTAGTAGTAGTAGTAGTAGTAGTAGTAGTAGTAGTAGTAGTAGTAGTAGTAGTAGTAGTAGTAGTGGTAGTACTGGTGGTGGTAGTAGTAGCAGTAGTAGTAGTAGTAGTAGTAGTACTAGCAGTAGTAGCAGTAGTAAAGTAGTAGTAGTAGTGGTAGTAGTAGTAGTAGTAGTAGTAGTAGTGGTAGTAGTGGTAGTAGTAGTAGTATAAATATATATGTATATATGTGTGTGTATGTGTTGTGAAATATCATATGGGCCCATTACATATAAGTAGTTTAATATAACCAGGCATATTAAAACATTATTCTAATAGTTGCAATTACGGTATATTAAATATCATTATTATTACTTGTATTGTTATCATAATTATCAACATTGATAATAAATTGCTTTGTTATCATTCAAAGATATTTTATATTCACTGAGAGGACAGATTACATATCGTAATTTTATTTTCATTTACAGTACTTTGGACCTTTAAGAAATAATAATTTATTGAGAATTGTATAATAAATTCATAACATCTGTGTAATTTACCTAGAGTTAATATCTCCCACATCACTGTCTCTTATCCACATCTTGTTGTGTATAAGAGACAGGTCATAATGTGTTCGGTTCATT